GGATATATTCCAAGTACACAAAGTTTGATGTTCAAAGGGACCTTAATGTTAAACATCTCTGACAGACACCTAATAACATCCTTCCAGAAGATTTGAATTTTGGACATTCCCAAATTCAATGAAATAAAGTTCCTTTCTCATCCAAACACTTAGAGCAAACGAATATTGGCAGACATATGATGAAGTTTGACAGGAGTTATACTAATGTGCGTTGTTATTAAAAGGAATAAGATGGCAGCATTTTAATCTCGTCTATGAATAATAAAACATGTTATTTATATAGCGCTTTTCCTGGTGCTCACAGCGCTTAACAAGCAAGTAAAGAAAAATAACAACATGGCTGTTTAAAATCATTTTGACACTAAGTATTACTTGTATAAAGTCATGTTTTGTGTCTGTATATCTGGGTGTGTTGTGTTTGTGTGCAGCAACTGGACAAAAATGAACTAGGAAATGTTTTTGTTTTGCTTTAGATTGATATTAATGATCTATGCATTTTTCTATGCGGCACATTTGTCTCAGATTCTGTTCACAATTATGTTTAAAATCTATCAGATGTAGCCATGTCTCCCTAATCAAAAGAGCATTCATTTAGGCACTTTAAGAATGTGTAGTGGTACACTGTGTTAACCTATGAGTTATATACGGTGTTATCAAGTCAGTCAAAGCAAATAATAATAATCTAAAGGTGAGTTTGATGTACTTCTCTTTGAGTTACAGGTATTCAGATTAGGTTTGAGGATATTCACGTCCACAGTTTTTTGCACAAAATGCTCAGTAATGTGTTTTCTGTGTTTTAGAAGGACACTGCAGCATCCAATGACCCGTTTGCTCCCGGCGGGACGACAGTGAACGCCAGCTCAGATCCAGGTACTGAGCTGCAGCGCCCTCTTCTGGGGACAGACGCAACTGCAGCTGTTTAAAAGATAAAGTACCAAATCAATAATTTAAAGTGTAAAATGCTCAGTGACTTTTACATGCTTGTGTGTTTCAGATCCATTTGCTGCAGTGTTTGGTAACGAGTCATTCGGAGGGGGCTTTGCAGATTTCAGTGCGTTGACAAAGGTAATAAAGATGTTTTTTTGCACGGCTTCACTTAGTGCAGTATATATAGTGAAACACACTGCGGGTGCTAGTGGAGCCTCGCAGATGTGGGTGCTGCAGCCCCCTCAGCACCCCCTCCTTGCCGCGTCCATTCGCGATGTCTCGCTGTCTCGCAGACCCCACACAGCAAGCAGGAAATGAACCCAGCTCACACTGTCCGCTCCTCGCAGCGAGCCGCGCAACGTCCCGCTAACCCGGCACCCAGACCCCACGCAGCATTCTCATCTGTTTGTCATTACTGGTGTCATTTTCTGGTTGCTAACAAACGCCATTATAACACATAATCACTGATGTTCTGCTGTAACGGTGGTGGACTCATCAGAACAGAGTGGGCGAGCTGACCAATCAGAGCACAGTGGGCTCAGAGGGAGGGGGGGGGGGGGGGGGCAGGAGCTCCAACAAGCTGTGTAGGACAGAGAGTGAATACACATACTATACAGAGATGCTGTATGAGAAACCAATGTGAGTTTGGAAAATTGCACAATATAAATCTATTCTAGTAGACCTCAACAATGGAAATATGATCAGTTGAAATGGCCATGACATGGGACCTTTAATACGGATAAAAGTGTAGGAATGGCAATATTTGATCTGCAATATCATACATTAGTGTGTGTTCTAAACGTGTTGCCTTTGCATTGAGGAGTGATTACCTCATATCAGGTTATTTTTAAAGTATTTTATAACACTGCAAGTTTTTACCAAATTACTAAATGGCCGGTTGTCATCCGACCTCCAACATAGCGATGCACTAATCAATCATAACACCTGCAATTTTGGTGCCTTTTTTACATTTATCTATTACATTTTTATGCCATTTCTACTTACCACCTCCAAAATAAGCTGTGGAAAAACCATCTTAAAACTTAAAACAAGAAGGTCCTGTTACTTGGATGCAGTTTTGGAGAAAATGTAAAATTACTTGCATGTATTGCATACACTTAAATGTCCTATGAAAGGAAAAATGTTACTGCAAGCCCTCTTTTAGACTTCTTACAAGGAAAGAAAATCTGTAATCGACCAAGAAAATAGCAACATGTGCATACCTCTGTTCTTTGTTATCTCTGTTTCAGTCGAACGGTGCGGACCAGTTTGGCATCAACAATAAGAACCTGTTCCAGGAGGAGAGCCAGTCGGTCGGCCCCGATGTGCCCCCAGCCCTGCCTCCCAAAACGGGTACGCCAACCAGACCGCCCCCCCCCCCTCCAGGTCAGTACGAGCTGCGAAAAGGTAACAGTTGTCACATTGTGTTTTCAGTCATTTGTGGATGTATTAACAGGATGTGATAGTTACTCAATAGGAGATTGAAATATAACTTTTCTGTATCTTTTCTCTCTTTAAAAAGCATTTTTGTTTGTCCTTTAGTTGCTTTTGTGTTTTAATGCTAATCAAAGCACTCTGAATTGCTTATGTTTTTTTAAATGTATTTTTTTAAATAACTACGCTCTAGTTTTTTGTATCGGTACAAGGCTTCATGATATCCTCCACAACAGCTATATAAACACTACAAAACTGATTTTGACAATTTTAGCCAAGTGTATAATTTGGTGTTGGGGTCTGGGGAGACCCAGCAGCATTGTTGTGGGTGACTCGAGGTCACATTTGGCCCAATCAAGATTCATCTTTGACTTTAGACACCCCTCCCCACCCCCTTCATCCACTGTAAGAATAATTTTTCGCAACATGCACCTGGTCTGGTTTGTTGTAGATTTTCAGTGTAGACCATTTTCAGTGGTACCGCTGAGAAAGAGTCATTTTTTTGGTCATGGAAAATTAGGTAAAGGTCATGGAAAAGTCATTGAAAATCATTGGTGAAAAAGTGTATGAACCCTGAATAACATTAAAAAATATAGTAAAATAAAGCAGTATTTACATGGAAATAAAATATGGAATAAAAATAACTCTTCCTCTGTGTGTCTCTGTAATTGGTTTTGTGTGTTAATGTTAATCAAAGCACTCTGAATTGCCCTATGTGTTTGAAATGATATCCTGGTTCAAAAACCTTCATTTTCCCACTTTTTCTTGGTGTAAAAAGTGTATAATTCGTTCTGTGTGTAATAACTCTTCCTCTGTGTGTCTCTGCAGGTAAACGGTCGTCCCTCTCCAGAACAGAGTCCTCCGAGTCCTTCCAGAGACGAGGACCCTTCCTCCAGCAGCCTCCAGGAGACTTCCCCTCCTCTTCCTCCTCACTGCCTGCCAAGGATCCTTTAGCCGACCCCTTCGCCCCCTCCTCCCCTCCTCGTCACAACGCTCGGGAAACTGACCGGTTTGCCAGCTTTGACAAAGTGAGCACCTCGCCCTCACCTTCCCCTGACTCTCCATAGCCCTCTCCTCTGTTCTTCCTGCTAATAAATCACACTTAGTTGATTCATTAAGGCACCAAATCAGGCCAGCTTTTTAAAACCACTCCATCCACTGCCACTGAAACCAAAAAGAAATCCTGAAGAAGAATAAAATCATGTCACATAGCAGCATCTGATCCTATTGCATTTACTGGAGCTAAGCTAACAAATCATCTCTATTGAAAATTTTAAAAATACATATATTTTGTCGCATGTAAAGATTCCTTACACTACAATTATTTTTGTGTTACTGATTTATATTATTAATGTAAGCCCCATGATTGAAGTTGCACTGTCCTACTGTACAGAAATGTAATTTAAACAATAATGATTATTATTATTAACCAAAGCAACATATTTGTAGTTACAGACAGACGCTCTGTTACAAATCACACATCTATCGTGATGATGGCATGTTGGCAGTGAATGGAGAGATGAGAGGCTGCTTGTGTTTGGCGTTAACTATCCCAACGTTACAGCCTGTGTATATGCATATTTAATTCTGAAATTAAATATACATTTTATTGCCAACAATTCATTCTGTGCACCTTATTAAGCTTTAAAAAAAAAATGCACCTCAGGTAATTTTCTAACTGCAAAGTGCACTTTTTCTGTGTCCGACCAATGACAAGTCGATATGTCGCTGAGTCGGCACAACAGTGTCATGAAGGCGTGACGTTAGTTAACCCTGACTAACGCATAGGAGAGCCTCGGGGCTGCAGGGTTTGGAAACTACAATCATTTCTGACTGATATTTTGATATGATTTGTGATTTAACACAGAATCCCTATTTTTTTTAAACAAAATTCACAATATCATTGAGAAAAACATCAAAAATGATTATTAAAGAGGACATGTACCAAACAGTTTAGTGTGTAGACGCCGTTATACTTCATTCAGATTTCTTCTGCCCTCACCAAATATTGTGTTTTCTGCAATTTGGATATTGCACTAGTCCATATTGTGATCTAAATACATGTTGATTACTTATACAACACTAGAGGGGAATGGCATTTCATTCTTGAAGTTGCATTAGGCTGTAATTGATACACATAGGTTTAATATGTCTCAGGACCAATTTGTAGTGTTTAAGATACAGAACAGAAATTATGCAGTTATCAAATATCTTCCTGAAAGCAACAGGTAACTGTAATATTGCTTTAATTGAAGAAGAACAACGGCATTACAGTTTCCTTTCCTTGTTCTACTAATCCATTCAAATATGTTCAAGTTGCCCTGCATCTAAAACAACAGAAGACTTCAAATGAAGTGTAAAAAAAGAATTGTACATTGCTCTAAACAGAGGTTCAACCCTTGCTTATATATCAGGATTAAACCGCTATGAGTATTAAAATCCTCTCAGCTCTCTCTCTTCATAATACTGCATAGAAATGTTCTGTCACGCTGTGAAATTGGGATGGATGACTTATTAGGTATTGATTTGAGTGCCTCACTCGTCACATGACTGCACCTGCATGTCCTGTAGCACTAACTGCCTGCCTCACATTCACTTAAACCACTGCCTCTCATTCACTTAAACCACTGCCTCTCATTCACTTAAACCACTGCCTCACATTCACTTAAACCACTGCCTCACATTCACTTAAACCACTGCCTTCATTACACTTAAACCACTGCTTCTCATTCACTTAAACCACTGCCTCCATTACACTTATACCACTGCCTCCATTACACTTATACCACTGCCTCCATTACACTTAAACCACTGCCTCACATTCACTTAAACCACTGCCTCACATTCACTTAAACCACTGCCTCACATTCACTTAAACCACTGCCTCATATTCACTTAAACCACTGCCTCACATTCACTTAAACCACTGCCTCTCATTACACTTAAACCACTGCCTCATATTCACTTAAACCACTGCCTCACATTCACTTAAACCACTGCCTCACATTCACTTAAACCACTGCCTCACATTCACTTATACCACTGCCTCTCATTACACTTAAACCACTGCCTCATATTCACTTAAACCACTGCCTCACATTACACTTAAACCACTGCCTCACATTCACTTAAACCACTGCCTCACATTCACTTAAACCACTGCCTCATATTCACTTAAACCACTGCCTCACATTCACTTAAACCACTGCCTCACATTCACTTAAACCACTGCCTCACATTGACTTAAACCACTGTCTCACATTCACTTAAACCACTGCCTCTCATTCACTTAAACCACTGCCTCATATTCACTTAAACCACTGCCTCATATTCACTTAAACCACTGCCTCACATTCACTTAAACCACTGCCTCACATTCACTTAAACCACTGCCTCACATTCACTTAAACATTCACTTAAACCACTGCCTCACATTCACTTAAACATTCACTTAAACCACTGCCTTCATTACACTCATACCACTGCCTCCCTTAAACCACTTTTACTTTATTCTCCCTTTACTCAAACCCATATGTATTTATCCATCTGTGCATGATGGAGTCCCTTAAAGTCCCTAAAGTGAATATTCTCTTCATTCTGTGTGCACAAAATAAAAGATACCACCTTTAGGGACTTTACTGGCTCTGTAGTTCATCCATCCGCCCCTTCATCCTTCATCCTTCAGTTCTACAGACGGCCTGTATTCTCTCTCTGTGTCTTTGCACCTCTGTCAAAAGAAAAGTTTGAATAAAGAGTTGATTGACGGGCACCATGTCTGGCTTCTATGTGCATCCATGACCTCTCTCTCTGCAAATGCCTGAGCTTTCTAAAAGACATACCAATGTTTTTTTTTTTGCCTTTTCAGTTCATTTTACGCAACTTTCCTCAATATATCATTACATTAGTGCTGACATTTTCAAATCATGCTTTAAGTTTTATAATATTTCTTACTTTTTATGTTATTTTGGTCGTTTTTGCTTTTATTTTAAGCAACATTTGGATTATAGGGATACACTTATTTTAAACACGTTTGATTAGTTCCTACTTTATTATGTAACTGTAGTGGCCACATGAAAAGCAGGAAAGATGCTTAAAATAATCCATACTGTATAGTGGCATGATTTTGTATATTTTTGGTAAACGCAATTATATCAAATGTAGTTGATTTATACTATATGGGCTGAAGGTAAAGAATGAAAAAAAAGTATTATTAATGTCTGATTTCATTCATATCTAAAAGCTGCAGTGGATTGTAGCTCCTACAAGTAATACATGCATGTTCTCTACTAAATCTGATGTTTCCTAAATGTTCTCATCATGCATGTTCTGCTCGACACCAGACTCGTTAGCGTTCAAACTAGTGAACGCCATTTTTGCTCCTAACTCCCGTTATCTGCATGTGTTGATCGTGTACGCACTGTGAAGCTTCTGTGTGTCACTAGCTGGATAATGAACCTGTTTGCACGTCCGCTCTGTAACCATTAACAGATTTAACAACAGTTCTGTGTGTTTTAAAGTTCCCCATTTTTGTCGTTGTGAACCTACAAATGTCATTTGTGGTCACATGACTCTCATTTATTCATCACAGGAGACTCCGACTATCACATTTATCTCCACAGCATGTGTAATGATGAGTCTTCATGTCATATATGATATAGGGGAATTTCACTTGTATAGTCTGTTGTTGTTGTTTGTTTCTTTGTGTTTTGGTGCGATGGGCTGAAACAGAAATTAGGGATTTATAGACCAGACAATTTACCGTCTATATCATGTGTCTGCTTCCTCTGAAATCTATTTGGAACGCTTTTCGATTTTAGCGTTGAGTCATGTTGTAGCAGAGAGTAGAGATGTGGAGTATGACAACTTAATGAGACCCTGTTATACTTTTTGGGGGTTTTCCCTCTCCTATAGTGTGTTGTGTTTATATAAAACAGGTTACTCTACAGATTAGACAGGAATACATTATATAAAACAATAAAATGAAGCACGCAAAAATAACTAAGACAATACACAAATAAACACAATTGATTTGATAAACAAATTCCAGGGATTGAATTGAAAGAAAAGTCATATTGAGCAATATGTTTGTATATAAATGCATATTATCTTTTAAAATACAGTATGAGTTGGGCTGACACGCTTGTATCCACAGTGACATAATTAGAATAAAATATTATACTTACACTCATTATAATTACATTACCGACTACAACTACAGTTAATGTGCAACCTTGGATTTTATACATTAATAATAACAAATCATTGAATCCTTGATAGACAAAACCCGACAACATCCCTGCATTTACCATTTATTTATATTTAATTATTGATTCATTCATAAAGCATGTGTTATTATTGGTTATCCGTCATCAGTGAGAATCTGTTAACTGTCTGTCTGTTTCTGTCTCCTTTCCCCTCATTTGTCTTTGCACATGTGTGTTTTCTCCTGTGTGTGTGTGTGTGTGTGTGTGTGTGTGTGTGTGTGTGTGTGTGTGTGTGTGTGTGTGTGTGTGTGTGTGTGTGTGTGTGTGTGTGTGTGTGTGTGTGTGTGTGTGTGTGTGTGTGTGTGTGTGTGTGTGTGTGTGTGTGTGTGTGTGTGTGTGTGTGTGTGTGTGTGTGTGTGTGTGTGTGTGTGTGTGTGTGTGTGTGTGTGTGTGTCAGCAGCATCAGTATCCAACGGAGGAAGACATGATCGAGTGGGCAAAGCGCGAGAGCGAGCGGGAGGAAAAGGAGCGACTTGCCCGTCTCACACAGCAGGAACAAGAAGACCTGGAGCTGGCCATCGCTCTCAGCAAGTCTGAACTCTCCTGAAGGACTCCCCTCTTCTTCCTCCTCTTCCTCTTCCTCTTCCCCTTCCTCTGGCTCGGCACGGCACAGCACAGCCAGAAAAAGAAAGCACCAAAGCATAGTGGGGACTGTACAGGACTGGTTCAGCAGCTTAAAAACCCCATGAGAACAGACTGTGTCCACATCGCAGTATTGTCTGTCTGTGTGTGTGTGTTTTCCGTCGCCTCGCTCGTGTTTCGGACGGCGATGGAAATGTATGTTCTGAAGAATTAGATTTAGAGATCGATGCTCCGTTGGTTTCAAGACGCCCACATTAACTCTCCAGAATGTAATTTATTTAATGCTCTCAAAAACGACATTTCAATTGCCAGAAGTCACTAACAGTACTCGCTACACTTTATTAAAACACTTTATATTGACAATTTCCTCTTTATTAGAGCCCCAAATTCCCATTAATTACCTTCCTTTTGGGGGTTTTATCTGAAATGAAATATTAAACGGTGTGTAGATTCAGGACAGAAAGCTGGGAAGATACTGAAACAACTTGTAAGTCTTATTTGAAACGGAGTTAAATTTGTATTCCCGTAGAATGACAATTAGCCTATGAGATTATTAAAAAAAAACATTTCTACTTGTGTAAGTCCTCTGAAATGTGAAATGCATGTGCAGATTTATACTTAAATTGAACAAATCCACAACGACCACATTCAGCTTTACATATTGTAGTGTATAGTGTAATTCTTTGAGAGATAATAACAGGAATAAAACTACAATTATCACATTTTATAAGAAGATATTGGCATTAAATGACAGCGCACACTATGAGGGATCGCACAAGAAATACGTGTTTCTGAGGGATAGAAATTGAGTCTAATACCAAATACTTCTTTTTTCTAAAACGTGGCTGTTAAACTAGTGAGTTTGGACATTTAAAAGTTAAAATAGTCAAAGTGGTTGATCATAAATGAATGTGTAAACTCATCTATGCCCACTGTACCTGCTCTGTTTACTCCTATATTAAATGAAGTCATATTAGTATTTATCCACCGTTAGACACTTCTGTAGCATGGATGCTGGATTTTTAATTAGAGAAATCTTATGAAAAAACGTCCTCACAGTCAATTTCCATTTCAATGTGTGCCACTTTAGTTGGTGCTTCTTCTGACAGCATGTATTTACACTTTTTGTTATTTTTCAGCAGGTGCTTCCTCTCCAAAAGGCTACATGTTAATGTTAAAAATCTTGCACAAAATCAGTGAAAGTTGTCTTTGTGTTTTGATGGAGGAGCTTCACTAGTTTGTGTACTTCAGGGTCCGTGGGGATTTAAGGCACTGGTGTTAAATCCACTTGTCTGTTATCACACACAGCAGTTTTTTGGACAGTACTTTTGTGTTTTCCTACCAGAAAATAAATGTGCACTAGGCGCTAAACTGTCAAATGTTTTGTTTTAACGAGTGAAGGCTCGGTTGAAGAGCAGGAGGCGTTTATTTTCTTATTTTTTTGACCAAACGGTGAAGAAAACGTCTCTTTTCAGCCAGAATGAGCATCGTCACCGCTTCCTCTTGTCATGCACTTCCTGTTTGTCTCTTGTTGTAGGTTATTGTAAATAGTCTCTTCTTCACAGTCACATTTAACGGCCACCTTACATTTGTACAGACTCCTTTTACAAAATCAAGAACCACTTATAGGCTTACTCATAAAGGCTTTTTAAAAACTCGAGCTATAACTGTATTGTATTTTGTATTTTCTAATGTGTAATAAAAAAAATCATTATTTGGAGGATTGGACAGAATATGTAATGCATTTAATTGAAGAATAAATATTAAACGTGTAGTTTTGCACTTTGTTTGTTCTTACTGGGGTCTCGTCATTTTACTGTTTTAGAGGTGGAAGATGTTTAGGATCGTTTACTCGTGTACAAGAAGTCATACTGCATTTTTTAAATACTCTATTCCAAGAAAAAATAATGCATGCAAAGAATTAGTTTGGTCAAAACAAGTAACTCTACCTTTCACTTAGTAAGGTAGGAAGTAACCAAGTACTTTACTAAAGTACAATTTTGAGATACTTGAGTACAACTTGAGTATTTTCATTGTATGCTACTTTGTACTTCTACTCCACTACAGTTCAGAGGTACATGGTGTACTTTTCCTCCACTACATGTATTGAATCCCTTTAGTTACTTTACAGATGTGGATGAATGATGTGAAATATAATCAAGTGTTAAATCAGACTTTAGTTCCACCTGGAGTAAATTCACAAGCTACCCTGCAGTATACAAAGTCATTCAAAGTAGCTGCACCTTTACCAGCTTTGAGAACACTTTAATGATCAATCATTATAAAACATATATATATTATTCTGAAATGGACCAATCTGCACAATGACTACTTTTACTGTCGCTACTTTCACTATATTTTGATGCTTATGTTAAAGGTATACTTGTGTATGTATCTATGTAGATGTTTATTGAAAAGCATAGATCCATAGATTATATAAAACGTTTAGTATATATAAACCCTTTTCTTAGGTATGTTTATTTTAATTGAAACAAAGGTTTTAATGTTTTTTGTTTTTTTTTGGACTTTACTTACATTCACTTGCTTTTTTTATTTATTCTGTATGTTTATTTAAATAAAAATACCATTTTAAAAGCAAGAGTGTATACTCAAAGACTCTATATAATATTTATTTATATTTTAACTTTTATTTATTTTAATTCACAGTTTGTTACAATAGACTATATTAATTTATATAATTAATTTATATTAACTTTCTTCATTTTCTGTATTTAATTGTAATTAAAATAACGTTTTAAAACCAAGAGTGTATACTCAAAGACTCTATATAATATGTATTTATTTATTTGTATTTTTTAAAACACTTATATAATTTATTTACATTAACTTTCTTTATGTTTATATTTTCTCTATTATATTATAATTAAAATAACATTCTTAACACCCACAGTAGCATAACCCGGCGGGCTTTAGGACCCGGCAGCCTTACAGCTCCCTCCCCATGCATTTGAATAGAGAGTGATTATAATGGTGATGACAGCCTCTCACACACCTTTCCCCTTCAGGAAGGAGGAAGACACAACGCGGTGCTCCTCTCTGCTCTGCCCGCTGTGTGAAGCCTCTGCCGGGATACTTTCTGCCTCACAGCCGGGGGATGAGTTTTATCACCAACTGGAGACGGAGCGCCAAGAAAAAAGACATCAAAAAGTGAGTAAAAAAAGCTGGAAAGTTGCTAAAAATAAATAAATAAAGTGCACAATCCTGGCTGGCCCTGTTCGTACTTGTCTGTCGGGGAGATTTTAATCACCCTTTTTTTTTTTAATAAGAAACACGTTATCTTTTCATCACACTGAGTTCATGTGAGGAGGACAACATGTTCGTAGATCCTCTTTGAAATGACACACACACACACACACACACATTCTCGTCTGATATGATCTATGACTTTAATTGCTGTGTGTCTTCATGCTGCTGTCAGAAAGTAAGGCTGGGTGATTCTCAAAATACCTCACTGGAAGAAATGCACGACATGTCTTTGAGGGTTTGTCCGGTTTTTTATTGGCTACTGTAAAAAAACACTTATTTGTATTTCCTCACTAATAAAAGCTTTTATTCTGAACAAAATATAATATTTGACAGGAAATTAAAGGAGCACAACATATGATCTTTAAAACATAAGTCCTGTGCTCTTATGGCTTCTGTAAAAAAGTCAGACTGTGTGTTTTTTGTTTTTATCTCACAGTATAAAAGATTTAATTCCGAAAATACATTATATTTGACGGGAAACTAAAGGAGCAAACCCTCTAATAAATCCATAAAAGTGACCACTGTGAGTGATCAGAGAATCTACTGTAGATATTTACTGTAGTTTTGATGATGTGTTGCTGCTTCATGAAGTCAGTCTGCAGCCTGTTGGACTACATTTCACTCCTGATGTGGTCAAGCAGGCTTTTCCTTTAGTGCTGCATCAGCGACTGAAATATCTTTAGGTGTTGTTATTTTGTCCTTTCTCTGTTGCATAAAGACTGCAAACTACTATGAGTAAAGTGGGAGAAAGCTATATTTATCATATGTTAATGAGCGGATTAACAGGACATTAAGTGGTCATCAAAATTGATTAAACCGGTCGTAAAATGATTACCTGGGTAGAAAAATAATGACATTAAATTACACCTGATTTACCTTTTTGACTGGCAGAAAAATGTTAAAAATGTTTCAGAAACATTGATAGATAATCCTGGCAAAACCATTTCATGTTTTTGAGTCATAAACACCGGAGGGAGAGAGAGAGAGAGAGAGACATTTTGATCAGACTTAGATAATAGATTGCCAGGTAAAAACATGTTTTGTCTTGGCTTTCAGGGCTTCTATATGTATCTCTGTAGGACATCATTCAGTCGTCTGTCTCAAACTGCACATGCACCCTGTGATGAGAGGTCACAAGAAGTATGGAAACACTCATTTAACTTTAAGCTTATAAAAGTGTGTGAAGAAAGCTTCACAAACAAATGTAAACAAGTCCTGGCCCTGTTGGTACCTGTCTGGAGATTATAATCACACTTTCTTAGAAACTCATTATCCAACTTTAAACGTATAATTAAAAAATAATTATGGTGAAATGGAAATGTCAAAGGGGACTTATCATGCTTTTGGGGGGTTTCCCTTTCCTGTAGTGTGTTATATAGGTTTTTGTGCATGTTAATGGTCTGCAGAGGCTAAAATCCCAAAGTTACCTCCATTTGGCTAGCGCTCCAACACATTGTACGTGATAGGCTAAGGGGCGGGACATCTCTAAGCGGTTGACCAATCACAACAGAGCCGGCCAGCTAACCAATCAGAGCAGACTGGGCTCTGGTTTCAGACAGAGGGTGAAAAGAGGTGCTGCAGCACAGGCAGTATGAGAAAAATAAAGAGCTTTTTGAACATTAAAGCATGGAGACACGTCCCAGTAGAGACACTACATACTGATATACACCTGAACATCAGCAGGAGAGGACTCTTTAAAGTAGAGACACTACATACTGATATACACCTGAACATCAGCAGGAGAGGACTCTTTAAAGTAGAGACACCACATACTGATATACACCTGAACATCAGCAGGAGAGGACTCTTTAAAGTAGAGACACTACATACTGATATACACCTGAACATCAGCAGGAGAGGACTCTTTAAAGTAGAGACACCACATACTGATATACACCTGAACATCAGCAGGAGAGGACTCTTTAAAGTAGAGACACTACATACTGATATACACCTGAACATCAGCAGGAGAGGACTCTTTAAAGCATGGAGACAATATACGCCTGAACATCAGCCTACTTTAAGACATGAATGCTGTATCAGGAGCTTCACAGTGACCTTATTAAACGTATGTCAGAACCTCTATGCATACATGTTTTTTACATATTAACAATGCAAGATACAGCACAAAATATGAACATCTTTAATCAATGTATTCTTAACTTACTGCTGAAAAGTGTTTCCTTGTTAGTAACTCGTCAATATTAGTGGCCTTGTTGATTCCACATGAGCTTTTCCTACTTTCTGACTAGCATTTCAAGGATTCAAGGATCATTTGTAGTATTTTTTCGGCACAGGGTTGGATAACAAGTTTCGGTTGTAATGTAATCCATTATGCTACATGACAAAAGAACAGGAAATAAACAGTATCAGTAAGTTAAAGTACTTTTGGTGATGACAATAGCCGCGTTCACACCAAGTACTTTCCTGTACTTAGTTCCGGCACTAAGAGCCCTGGCGCTTTTAACCCCAGGGTACTTAGTACAGATCGCGTTCACACCGGAGTACTTTTCCCTGAGGGAAGATTACAAGTACAGTAAGTGGCGGTAAGCACCTTAAAGTTGTTTGCAACCCGCTACAAAACAAGAGAAGAAGAAAAACTGATACAGGATCTGTTTAATCGCCATGTCGGTTTTCTTTATTGCACTCTCAAGACATAACATTAAATAGAAATATTTTAAATGTAACTAAAGTGTCAGTTGTACATGTCAGTAAACATTGTCAATATAAAATAAAGTGTCAGTTGTACTATATAATAACAGTAATAACAATATAAAATAAACTCCCAGCTGTAGGGAGTCTCAGCAGCAAACCCACCTTTATTATATATCTTCCCGAGACCCACTGCATCCGTCTGCCATAAACACTATGCAAACATACATGTTAGTTTTGGCCCATAGTGGACTCCATGTTGTGTTGTGTGAAATGGGGGGGAATTAAAAGTTTAGGTCAAATAATATTTAAAATGATATAAATTATCATATTTGTGTATGTGCCCCTGCCATTCCCCCACAAGGTTGCAACATTGATGATAAATAAATGACAAATAAAGCTTTGCCAGTTTATAACCGATGAAACATGATGGTATCAGAATAATCACTTACATGTGATGTATAGGATGCTACACAGGTCACAAAAGATAAAGTGTCAGGAGAAATAAGCTTAATCGCCATGTCGGTTTTCTTTATTGCACTCTCAAGACATAACATTAAATAGAACAATTTTAAATGTAAATAAAGTGTCAGTTGTACATGTCAGTAAACATTATATATAAAATAAAGTCATAACAGTAATAACAATATAAAATAAACTGTCCCAGGTGTAGGGATAGTCTCAGCAGCATACACACCTTAGTGCAACGTTGTGTGTCGTGTGTCAGTATTTACAAAAACGATACCAAATAAACTGTTATTAAATGCAGTTTGTCGCTCATCCTGCCGCTGCGCCGACGCTTCCTCATGGCGCAGCGCCCACACTTCATCCTGGTGCTGCTGGCGCTCCATCTGCTGCTTGAACACTTCTGCCT